CTACTGCACTCAGTTATGTCAACAAGTAAGGAGGCATGGTCTCCCTACTCCTTTGCAACGTTGCCATCCAGTTATGGGACCTTTGCATCGCCCACAACGTCGTCTTGATAGCCATGCACATCTCAGGACACATGAATGTGCAGGCAGACCATCTAAGTCGAGCGGGACGCAGTCTCCACGAGTGGGAAATGAACCCAACCTACCTTCTACCATTCTTCCGCAGGTGGGGAATTCCCCAAGTCGATGTTTTTGCCACCAGAGCCAACAAAAAGTGTCCTCTGTTCTGCAGCCGAGGCGGCAGGGATCCACAGTCTCTAGGGGATGGTCTCCTCTATCCGTGGTCCAGGAAACTTCTCTACTTCTTCCCTCTACTACCCCTGCTTCTGAGAGTGGTCCGCAAAATCATCAGTGATGGAGCGGACAGCATCCTGATAACCCCCTGGTGGCTGAGGTAGCCATGGTTCTCGACCATCCTCGATCTGTCAGCAGGGGTCTACCACCAATTTCCTCCGGCACAGGACCTCCTCTTCCTGTCCGACTCCCCGCTCCTGTACCACGACGTGCCATGGATGAAGTTGACAGCCTGGAGAGTTGCATCAACAGCTTTCCACCCACGTAGCAAATGTTTTGCTAAATGCCAGAAAGCCTACTACGCGAACGTCGTACCACTACAAATGGCAAAAATTCTGTTCCTCCTTGGGTGACGATGCCCCTCAAGCCACCTCTGTAGGCCTCGAGAAAGTTTTCCAATTCCTCCTGTCCCTCGCTGACTCGGGACTCTCACACTCCTCGTTTAGAGTGTATTTGGCTGCACTTTCAGCCTACCATGTTCAAGTTGAGGGATGCACACTGTTTTCGCATCCACTCTCAAAACGTTTTTTGAAGGGACTGTTGCACCTATACCCTCCCATCAAAACTCCTGTCATTCCCTGGGACCTTCCTCTAGTTCTTCGTCAGCTCACGAGGAAACCCTTTGAGCCACTCGCATCTTGCGACCTAACATTCCTGTTGTGGAAGACGGCCTTTCTAGTTGCTGTCATCTCAGCGAGGTGAGTTGGAGAAATACTAGCTTTCAGACATGACATGCCTTACTTGTCCTTTTTGCCAGACGGTGTTCGCCTCGTTCCTGCCAAAGGTAGTGTCAGAATTCCACCTACAGGCAGAGGACTTCCGGATTTCTTCCTGGCTCCAACATCCTCAGAGGACAGACTGTTACACACCTTGGATGTGAAACGTGCGCTCCTGTTCTACCTGAACAGAACCCGCCCAGCGAGACGTGACTCCCAACTGTTCATCTCGTACGCACCAGCAAGGCTGGGGACTCGCATCACGGCTCAGTGCCTCTCAAAGTGGATTGCGGGGCTCATCCGCCTCTGCTACCTGATCGCCAAACAGCCATTGCCTGGCCCTATCAGGGCCCATTCAACCCAAGCTGTTGCAGCTTCCACTGCCTTCCTCCGGGGAGTTCCCCTGACGGACATTTGCAAAGCCGCTATGTGGGCTACGCCTAACACCTTCATAAGGCACTATGCCCTAGACGTCTGAAAGAACTCTAGTACCAACATGGGACGTCACATCTTGTCTTCGGCTACGCAGTAAGGACCTGCCAGCACCCTCCTCCAGGTAGGCCACTGCTTGCTAATCACCCATGGGTGTGAAGCACAGAGACCATGTCGAAGATAAACAGGTTCCTTACCTGTAACTGATGATCTTCAAGTGGTCATCTGTGCATTCACACCACCCGCCCTCCTTCCCCGCTGCTGTCAGCTTCTACTTTTTCCATAGGGGTTGATTCGTGGCGGTTCGAAGGAACTGGTGGGATGTCTGTACCCACCCCTCTGGGCATGCACGGTGGGGTTCCTGCACATGCCTGAGGTCTGGGCGTGAAAATCCGTTAAGAGCTTGCTACAATGTCAATCGATCCAGCGCGTGCGCACTAGATCCCATGGGTGTGAATGCACAGATGACCACTCGAAGATCATCAGTTACAGGTAAGCAACCTGTTTATCTGATCCACAAGATCCAAGAAATCAAAGGGAATGTTAAAGCATGGTTAGGCATGCTGAAAGATCAACATGGAAATGCATTACCAGAACAGGACAAAATAAAGGAAAGATGGGAACAAAATACACCAAAGAACTATACAGAAGAGATTAAAAGAATGACACGTTCCTTCCCATATGAATCCTTTGAAGAAGTACCTATAGTCTTAGAAAGTTGTGAAAGCTGCACTGAGAGCAGTTGGGAGAAACAAATCACCAGGAGTATATGGGATATCAATAGAGCTATTCCAAGCCACAGAAATGGAATCTATCAAAATCTTAACAATATACCCACAAATACAGAAAACACAAAATGGCCCATAGACTGGAAATGGTCAATCTATAATCCAAATCCGAAAAAGGAGACATCAAAGACTGCAGCAACTATCAAACCATAGCACTAATTTCTCACATGAGTAAAGTGATGCTTAAAATCTTATAATAAAAACTGTTACCAAATATAAAACGAGAAATGCCAGATGTTCAAGCTGGACTCAGAAAAGGAGGAGGCACTAGAGATCATATTGCAAATTTACATTGGTTACTGAAGAATACGAGATAATTTCAGATGAAAATCAGCTTGTGTTTCATGAATTACAGCAAAGCTTGAGGCTACTGTTAGGACAATATAAAGAAATAGAATGGTTTCCAGTTGGCAAAGGTGTCAGCCAATGGTGTATTTTATTTCCATGTCTATTCAATCAGTATGCTGTGCATATCATAAGGAAAGGTGGATTAGATTTAGATGGTGCAGTGAAAATTGGCAGAAGGAACATTAACAAATTTGAGAAATGCAGATGACACCAGATCACTGGCAGAAAATAGTGAAGACCTGAAATGTGTTGAAGGTTAAAGCAGATAGTGTCAAAGCAGGATTACAGCTGAACATCAAGAAGACAGAAGTAATGACTACTGAAGAATTCTAGAACTTTAAGCTAATGATGAAGAAATAGAAATTGCTTAGGATTCTCTGTTCCTTGGCTCCATCATCAACGAGAGGGAGACTACCAAGAAATCAGAAGGAGATTGAGACTGGGAGGTGTAGCCATGAAGGACCTAGAAAAGGTTAAGTATAAAGTTGTGTGAATAGAGACCAGGATCAAGATAATTCACACTGTAGTAGTCACCATTACTATGTACGGATGTGAAAGTTGGACAGGGAAGAAAGCAGATAGGAAGAAAGTCCATTCATTTGAAATGTGGTGTTGGATGAGAGTTTTACAGAGACCATGGACCACCAAAAGACAAATAAGTGAGATCAAATGAAGCCTGGACTCTCCTTAAGAAGCTTAAAAAGATCAAACTGAGGCTATTATGCTTTGGTTGCATTATGAGAAGACAAGACTCACTGGAAAAGGCAATTATGCTAGGAGAAATTGAAGGCTGCAGGAAAAGAGGAGTCAGCATGAGATGGATTGACTCAATATAGGAAGCCACGGCCTTCAGTTTTTACGACTTGAGTAGGGGTGTGCATTCAGCATAAACAGAGCTGAAAATGTAGCTGAAAAATACCTTACTAGTGTTTTCTGGGTATTTCTAAAGCTGGTTACCAAATGGGGCTGCCTTTCAGCTATCTGAAATGACCAAGCCCCCCAAATCCCGAATATTTCAGATAGCTGAACTTAAAAAGCATTTAAAGGGATTGCGGTCCCTTAAGTGCCTTCTCCAAGCTATGCGACTGCGACGAGTTCACTTGAAAGGTGTTTAAAGAGTGTACAGTCCCTTTAAATGCCTTCTGGGTGAGCTTGCTGCTTGGAGAAGGGACTGTGAGCCCTTTAAATGCCTTTTCCCTCCTCCATTGAAAGCGGTAGAGGATGGGGCCACCTTCTTTGGGGGCCCATAGAATTGGACCCTCTGGTCCAATCTTTTTGAAACTTGGGAGTTTTTTTGAGGTAGAGGCACAAGGAGCTATGCTGGAAATTTGGTGCCTCTACCTTTAAAAATAGCTCCCCAGAGCTCCAGATACCCCCAGACTGATTCTCCATTATGGTCTTTGGGGAACATTGACTATAATGGTCCCCATAGAGTATAATGGAGCTGCAAAATTAGGCTTTCCTGAGTATTTACTGGATCTGAATACCATCCCGGTATTGGGATTCAGGAATATCAGGATATAATGGAGCTGCAAAATTAGGCTTTCCTGAGTATTTACTGGATCCCGGTATTGGGATTCAGGAATATCAGGAAATACCAATATTTTTCAGGCTCAGTATACCCAAACCCGGAAAATACCAGGGTTTTTTGCACACCGCTAGACCTGAGCAAGGATGTTAAATGATAGGACCATCTGAAGGTCATTAATTTGTAAGTTCACCATAAAGCGTAAATGAGTTGATGGCATTTAACACATGTAAGAGATTTCCGAATTTTCTGTGTATTTAGCGAAATTCACCTTTGGCAAACCTTTTAAATCCATTCCATGATGGAAAAGTTTTGGTCAATGTACCAGTTTTTAGCTATGATCATTTTTGCAGCTGTTAGCATATCAGCAATCATAGAATATTTTATTTTAGAAGTAACATTTTGTGTATGACGTAGCAACAATATTTTAGAGGCTCTAGGTACTAATATTTTGATTATAGATGCAGTTTCTCTTAAACTTTTGCCAGAAAAATAGAAACAACTGGAGATGTCCACAACATTTGTAAATAATCTGCTGTTATATGCCCACTGTTCCAGCACTGATACATTTCATCATTAAAGCTTTTATCCTGTTTGTGAAATGTTCAGTACTACATGTATAAACATTCTCTTTTAACTTAATACAAATTGTATTTGCAGATTGAGAGTCAAAAATAGCTTTCCATTTACCTGAAAAAAGAAATATGTTCTCTTTTACTATTTGCATCCATTTCTAAATGTTTTATAAATTTTTAATGGCTGTGTTTTTTTTTTGTTTCTTTGAATGTGTTATTTAATGTCCTTTTCTATTCTCATAACATAACTATTGTTTTATAGGCTGTTGATTGGTGGAGTCTAGGTGTTCTAATGTATGAATTATTAACCGGCGCATCACCATTTACAGTTGATGGAGAGAGAAACTCACAAACAGAGATATCTAGGTAAATTATAGAGCTGTCTTGATGCAAATTATTTAGTAGCTTTTAAAACTCTTCAAGAAAATATTACTTTACGTGATCCAAGATTAACAGTTGCCCAAAGTGGGGTACTACAGAAAGATATAGTACCTGGAATACTACAGAGATTATACTTGTATCATGCATGGACATTGTAAGTAAGTTGTAGTACAGGACTCACAATTTTCATGCTAGAATTAGTACCCTTGAAATCTCTGACCACTTGAAGGAGAACTTCAGGTTTGTCCTCTGGTAGTAAAAGGTCCTGTGCCTGAGATAGTTTGTCGCTTTGCTCATTTAAAGGAAGTATGAGTGTCAGTATTAGGCAGTGTGTGTTTTTGCTTCTCTCTTGCTATATACATACTCGGTGGGGTTATCCTCCCTTTCTTGCTATTACCGTGCTTTAACCACTTTGCATCTTTCTGTGATGGAACAAAGCAAGGCTGTCCATAAGGCCTGTAGTCACAATGTAGGAGAGATCCTCTTTTAGTCTCATCACAGAATATTGGCCCAAAGCATACGAAAGAAACTGGCAGCTGAAGCAAGAAATATGTGCATAACTCTCTGTTTTGAACATGAAGAAACAGAAATGAGGGAAATTCTGTATTGATTCAGAAAGTTCTGCATCTCATTTCTATTATATTAATATTAAACATATCAAGAGATAATATAAGTATCATACAGAATTTTTATTGAGTTTTCTGGAAGCCGTTGACTTGTTATGGGGGGAAAAATCACAAGTTTACTGATCATGGTTTTTGCCGAATTCTGGATTGTAATAGAAGTAACTCGTTCAGGTGCTTTCTAAGTACAAATCAAAGTTTTTTGCTCAAGAAGCAAGTGTGCTTCTTTGGTAAAGTCCCCAGCCCAGCTAAAGTTAGTATGAAAAATTATTTGTGTTTAAATTGTGCGTAGACTAACTTTAGTTGGACTTCAGTCATAAACTGTCATTTTAAATATTGGGATTTGTTTTCTAAACAGGAGCCAGTCACAAGAAATATGCCTGTCAGTTTTCATCATAGAAAAAAATTGCCTGTCTACACTTGTTCGGACTTTTCCAGGTTTATACTCTTCCCTCCCCAAAATGTATAGAAAAAATCCAGTTGTGATGATCATTTCAGAGGTTAGGCAACATTTCAATTTTCTGTTCTGAAAATATCTGAACCACTCACAAGCTAAAGGATGCAGGCTGTTCGATAAATTTTCTGGTTTCTCCATTTCTAAATCAAAGTGGTTTTATTCTCATAAGGGTCTATAAAGTTTTTGGCCATTCCCAGAACTGCATATTCACTGATTCAGAGTTTTAAGAAATAGTTTAAAAGTCAGTCATAGCAGTTGCCAAAAGTGTACATGATGGAAAAGTTTTGATGTACTCGTGTTGCTGTTCTGACTCTGAGGCTTGGATCCTATGTAGCTTGAATGAAGCTGTGCTGGTAAATGGCAATTTTCCTGCCTCCCCCTTCCCACTGCAATCTTCTATGCAATTGTCCCCACATGGGTCGAGATCCCCTGAAATATTATGGGGATTGAAGTGGGAGATTGCAGTGAGAAGGAAAAATGGGTGAGAAATTGCCCTCCCTCCCCTTCTATGAGAAGTGTTTACCATAAACAGAGAGAGCACTTAGGGTCCAACCCATCCTTCAGTTTGTGCCTGAGTACTCTCCTTTGTATGAACCTTGGTTTTGATTAAATTGCTGATGCATAATGTTGCTCGTACATGCCTCACACATACAGATGTTGCCATTTGGGCCTATGTGTAGACTATACATTCTAAATAGATAGCTAAATTTTACAGCACAACCCAGTTCACTGGCTTGTATCCAACAATATTCACTAGTATAGTGACACTTTCCCACAAGTCCTTCTGCAGCCACTGAGCTCTCCAAGAGGTTGTTCCTGGGAGCTGACAACCCTTAGAAGCAGCATAGAGGGCAAGGGGGGAAGGCTCTGCATTGAGTGGGGCAAGTGACTGAAAAATGCTCTTCCAACAAGAGAAGTGTCATTCTATCATTGAAAACAAGGGGTAGGATACTATTACTATTTTTTAGCAATGTCTAAAATTAATACTTTTAAAACCTTATTGGATAATCAAAGGATTTATTTCTCTAGTTGTAATGGATTAAATTTAGGTAATTCCCCATGTTTTTCAAACAACTGTGCATACTGGGGTACATTCCTGCTATGGAAATTGAGAAAGATATTCAATATTCTTTCTTTGGGGCTGAACAGTACTGTCCTATACTAAGTTTTGTTTAAGACACACTATTATCTTAGTGTTGAATCAATGAAACAATTGTTTTGATTCTGTATAGTAATGTTTCTACATTTTTTCATATTAATTACTTAATTTTAAAAATTTCTAAGTTATTCAGTTAACAGGCTCATCCATATGAGTTTTTAATCCTTCATATTTTACATGGCAGTAAACCAGGTTTTGGGGTACTACCAATGTTATATAATGCATTACGTTATTACTAATTTTAGCATTTTATTTCAGAGGGATTAAAGGATAGGTCAAAGTTCAGTGGTAGAACAAGATTTCACTCTGACTGACAATGGATCTCGAAACAGTACTGCATTAGATAGACCAATAATCTCAGTATAAGCTTCTTTCAAGTCAACTGTGAGAGCCAGTTTGGTGTAGTGGTTAAGTGCGTGGACTCTAGTCTGGGAGAACTGGGTTTGATTCCCCACTCCTCAACTTGCACCTGCTGGATGACCTTGGGCAAGCCATAGTTCTGACACAGCTGTTCTTGAAAAAGAGCAGTTTCTGTCAGAGCTCTCTTAGCCCCACCTGCCTCACAGGGTGCCTGTTGCGGGGAGGGGAAGGGAAAGGACTTTGTAAGCCGCTCTGAGACTCCTTTGGGTAGTGAAGGACGGGGTATAAATCCAATCTCTCCTCTTCTTCTTCTTCTTCTATTTCCATAGACACTTCCACAATTCGGCAGGCATTTTGTTGGCTTCTTTTGATTCCACAAAATTGTTAATTATTTTCCATTTTTTTCAGGAGAATATTAAAAAGTGAACCTCCTTACCCTGAAGAAATGACTGCTCTAGCTAAAGATGTAATTCAGCGTCTTCTGATGAAAGATCCTAAGAAAAGACTTGGCTGTGGTTCAAGTGGTGCTGACGAAATCAAACAACATCCCTTCTTCCAGGTGAAAAAAAAATCCTATTGTCAGTTTCTATTGTCCATTTTTTTTCCTTTGGAAAAAGCTTGTTTCTCCATAAATATCCTAGTTCTAGAGAACACACTTTGGAATGTTTTAGTTGTAAAGATGTGCACCTATTTATTTATTGTGTATACTCCATAAACTACTTTGAAATATGTGTGAATATCCAGTCATCATCCACGTTTCAACTGATGTAAGAATAACTTTAAACTGTAATCATGATGCATTTGAAGTTATTTTACTCTTAAAAGAGTAAAACGTGTAAATTATATAGGGCAGGTTCCAGTCCTCCCTATGTACAAGTAGAATGGGGTGGCATGGGGGGGTATTTTCTTCCAGTGGCAGCCTCAAAACTCCTCATGGGGCACATCTGTGAAGGACTTCCTGCTAAAATGAATGTGTGTGGAATGGTCAGGAAGCTGCCACTGGGGGTGTGTGTTAAAAGTTCTCCTGTACTACTAGAATATTTATTCATTGTAGCTTCAGTCCTCACCATAGCTAATAATTTGAAGCACAATTAACAGATATAGAGTTAGAAAAGTACACAAGAGTAGTCCTGCAAAGCAGAGACCAAAGCCATTTGTTGTTGTATTTATTTTGTATTCAACAAATCAGCAGTTGCCCTAGTGGATAAATGAAGTGATAATGACTGTCAGGCAATGCTCCCTCTAAGCTGTGGAGTCTTGTGAGCAAAAATTCTACTTTGTGAGCTACTGGCATTAAAGTTGTGAGCAAGTGATTTGGCTACTGCATAAATTAGTTTGCTCTGGAGCCATCCTTCCTGAGCTAAGACAAAAATGTGTGAGCTGGAGGCTAAAAAACTGTGAGCTAGCTCACACTAACTCACCTTAGAGGGAACACTGCTGTCAGGCTCCCATAAATCATTTTCATGGGGTCTTGCTACCTAAAAACTAGGTCAGCAAAAAAAACTGGATCAGCCTCAACTTGCATTAAAGGTTTCTTTTTGTACTGGCTTCTAAACTTTATTTAATGTTCTGGATTAGAAAATAAACTGGGATGACATGGCTGCCAAAAAAGTGCCAGCTCCATTTAAGCCAGTAATTCGTGATGAATTGGATGTTAGTAACTTTGCAGAGGAGTTCACAGAAATGGATCCAACATATTCTCCAGCAACCACTCCACAAGCTGCAGATAAGCTCTTCCAGGTAATTGCTGTATAATAATACTAATTTGTGGGTGCTTGTACTGAATTATGGTAGAAAGACAATTCAAATATAAATATATAAACGTAGGGATTTGAAAAAAGACAATTTAAATTACTGAAAATTGCTAGTACAGTGTTGTCTTTGTGTTGATATAAACAATTATTGTGATTATGTGAATTCTTGTGGATGTGCAAAGAACATTTTCTGAATGGTGTGTCCAGCACAGAAAAACACAGGGGACAAAGGCGAAGAGCTGTTTGGGATATATTGAGCTTAGCTGGTAGATACTGATTGGTAAAGAAATGTTAAAAAGGCAAGCTGAAGTTTCAGGCTGACCAAAGCAGCATTGGACACATTGTGGTCATTGATTTGAAAGGGGATAAAAGTTACACAGAGAAGGATAAATATGATGATTAAAACCAAGTTCTGTTTTATTTTTCCACTGGTTTCAATGGGCTTAGTAAGGTGTAACTCTGCTTATGAGTACACTGGTAGTGTCATGACTCTGTTCAGCAGATGTGAAAGGACCAGCATTTGGAGTGTTTTGAACTCCACAATAAATTGGAGGAGGAAAAGGTTTAGGTGTATCCATTCACTCAGCTCTACAAATTTAAATTAAGAAGGGAAGTGATAGAAACAGTAGGACAGACCAGGACATATATTAGTGGGCTTTATCATGCACCATGTTGCATGCCCTCTACAGTGTCGGGGAGAAGATCTGAATAAATCTATGTGGTTTGGCCGTTTTATAGGGTTGCCATCCCTCCCCCCGATGGGGGCAGAGGGTTCCCCCAATGTTGGGCTTCCCGATCCACCCGCCGGCCAGCTGCCGGCAGGGGAAGCCCCACCCCTGAAGAGGTCCACGGCATCCAATGTGTCTGGCGCAATGATGTCACCCGGAAATGACATTATTCTCCAAATTTCCCATGCAGTGGGATTTCTGAAAATCCAGAATCCAAAAACGCACAAACACAGATATTTAAACCTGAACTGATAATGTGCAGATCAAAAACTGGCAATCATAGTAAAGGTTTCCCCGAATTCCACAACAAAATAACAATTTTTCTTGGCACACTCCCTGAGTAACCAATCTTATTAGGGAGACTAGAATGTATAAAGAGCCAATAAAGCTGACTAGACTCAGAGGGCCCTATGCCTTTCCAAAGTGATGCATTGGCGCTCAACAGCTGTAAGCCAACTCCAAGAAAGTTTGTGGTTCAAGTAATCTGGGCTTGATGGTTGCTACTTGTATGTTCAGATGATGTGTCCTTCTAAACACTTTGGGGGTGGGATAGTACGAGGAGGCTATTGCATTCAGTTTCTTCATGTAGGCTTCCTAGAGGTATCTAGTTGGCTTTTATGAGAAACAGAATGATAGATTGTAGGACTTTGGTCTGATCCAATAGGGCTGTTCTTATGATGATCCTTAGGAGTTTTATTCTAATTAATACTTTTAAGCATCTTCCATGTAAAGTATCCTTGTCACTACTGTCATATGAGGAAGATGGTACATGAGCACGGGACTCATTTCCAAAGCTTGATCATAGAAATCCTTGATTTTTCATCTTGCACATGCCCTGGCTCATGTGTTGCTCCCCCACCCCAACATACCCAGCTGTTCCAATAGCACTGCTCTATGGAGAAGACTTTAAAATGTGAAACAGAGCTAAATAAATATAAAGTGTAGTGGAAAAGAAGTGTAGCTTTTTCAGTGATGTGGTAGAAGGAATAAGTGGAAGAATAATGAGATATAACAGGGTAAGATTACTTCAACAGCACTTAGTGCATTCAGAATGTTTCTTAGCCTGTTGGCACTGGAATTTGTATAGTATATAAATATCATTTCAGAGTTTTATTCTGGAGCTAATAGTGTAACGTATAGCACTTGTGCTTGTTATAGCACATATGTGTTTCTTTATTTTAAAGACAATTCCATTGTGTGCATAGTATTGCAGCCTTAATGTATTTTTATTATGAACATAATAAAAGCTATCCCATGTTTCCTGAAAAAATTCATAAATATGTCTTAGTTCGGTTATATTGGTGGTAGAAAGTGTTGTCAACTCACAACTGACTTATGACGGCCCCATAGGGTTTTCAAGGCAAGAGATGTTCAGAGGTGGTTTGCCATTCCCTGCCTTCACATCACGCCCCTGGCATTCTTTGGAGGTTTCTCATCCAAATACTAGCCAGGGCTGACCCTGCTTAGCTTCCCAGTTATATTATTGGACATAAATAGTTCTACAGTTTTCTAAAAGTCTGAACCATTTTATCTCAATATTCAGAAGTAAATTCCTAAAGCTAAAATGCAGTTCTCTTGAACATCCTTAAAAGCATATTTAGTTTGGTAATTAAATATGGTTTGACATGATGAACAGGATAAACATGCTAATCCTTTTTGGTTTCAATTGTCCTCTCCTTTGTTTTGTGAGCAAATGCAAGAGAATGTTCTGCCTTACTGATAAATCCTTGATGTCGCTGCATGAAACCGTGCATTAGAATATTTACACTTCATATCTCTGATTCAGAGATTGCATTTTGCAGCAGTAGAGCTCTGTGCCCATCGCTGTAGTAGTCCTGTTGTCAGATAAGTGAGTAGTACGTTCCGTGTGCCTTGGTGTTTAGTCATGCCAGCCACATGATCACGGAAATGTCTTCGGACAGCACTGGCTCTTCGGCTTTGAAACGGAGATGAGCACCGTAACCCTAGAGTCGGATTCGACTGGCTTTCAAGCAAGGGAACCTTTACCTTTACTTACTTATGGTATTAATTACCAGAATCCACTATCTGGAGAGGTTAGTTCCTTCACCTTATAAATAGGTTGTCAGGGACCTATAAAATGTTCTATCTATACCCATGCAAGGTGTTCATGGACACATTTCTGGGCACACAGAATTGCTTAATTGGAATGTATGTACATATTTTCATATCTGAAAATCACTGGAATTCCTTGTACATAGGAATAGGAAGATCAGCAAAACTGAATACTTCCTGGTGATTCACTGACATTTTAGCAAATCACACTTGATTTTACCAGTTACAATTTTTGACATTTGCCCTATCATAATATAAGCCTGTTTGATACCTTAACTATAGGTGTCTTGGGAAGCTAGCCAGTTTGAAGTATGAACCTTTGTCATCAGTGAAAAAGAATTGAAGCTGTGAGTCAGTTTTTTAGCATTTTTTAACAAACTGCTTTTATTGGGATATTTTTCGTTGTTGTTTAGATCAGAAGGTGGTATAATGTTCCTTTAGATGAACTTCATCTACTATCCTTGAAATGATATATGAAATTATATTTTCTCCTTAAATATGATGAATCGTGCCCAACTTTAGGCTGATACATTTTTTGTCTGAATTAACGACTGTCCTAATAATTGAAATTATGGCTAAAATTTGATTTCAGTCCTTTTTAGAGTTTATGTTTATCTTATCTCCTTGGTCTTCAGGGATATTCCTTTGTGGCACCCTCTATCTTATTCAAACGCAATGCAGCCACCATGGATCCCATTCAGTTTCTGACAGCAGTTGATCAACCTGAAGTTACAAGTGTTGCCAGAAGTGCTATGATGAAGGTAGTATTAAGAGTTAATCTAGCTGTTTAATGTTAAGTGCTTTTCTGTTTACAGTGGCTTCAAGCCAAGCCTGCTAAAGGGGCTATTTGCCATTCATGTAAGGGTAATGGTAACAATTTCTTATTCCTGGTGCAGCCCCTTCTTTGCTGTATTCAATGTTTTTGGAGCGTCTTTCAACCCTCAGAATCTAAACCAGAATTTTTTAGTTGCTGGATAATTGGAAATACAAAGGTCTGCATGAATACTGCATAGCTGAAAGAGTCCACATTTATTTACAAATATGAAAATATAAGAATTTTTATTGCCTTTCAAATTGTTAATAACTTTCAATGCTTTCTTACAATGCTAAAGAATTTCAAATCCTTAGACTTCAGAAACCAGGCATGTAAATTTTAGTAGCTGTTAATCAAGACCCTGGGTTTTTTTCTGCCATGCATAGATTTTCCTCTATAGTAAATTGTTGTTTTCTGAATATTAAGATACATTTTTAGTTGAATATATTCAAAAATTATTATTGAAATCAAGTAAACTATTATACACTATAATTTACTCAGCCTGTTAGTCATTGTTTTTCAGGCAGATAAATATATTGTACCAGGAAACCTCAATCAATGTTATATAGTAAACGATATAATTATTCTAAAGTAAAGTTATTCTTTGTCAATTGGTCCTGTTTGTTAAGTATTGCTAAATATAGCCAGGTTTTTTTCCCAGGACTCTCCATTTTATCTTCATTACGAATTGGATCTCAAAGAAAAACCACTAGGAGAAGGAAGCTTTTCCATATGTCGAAAATGCTTACACAAGAAAACCAGTCAAGTATATGCAGTAAAAATAATTAGTAAAAGGTAGGGAAACATTGCCTTTAATGAACTTGAGTAATGAAAGCATAATGTAAAAATTAAAAATTGTTTTTAAATAAGAATATTTAAGAAGACACTTAAACCATTTAGCATAAAGATTTGCATTGTTTAAAATATTTTGAGAAGATGCTTCATTAAACCAAATGGCCACCCTTTACAGAACAAAACCAAATGAAACAATTATGTGAAATTTGTCTTCAGCTGATCCTTCAGGAGGCAGTGTAAGCATGCTAAGCTATCACATAATGTTTTGTAATATAGTCAAAATTTTGCTATCCTAAAGTTGCATAGTGGGACCTATAGCAGTTCTGAGTGTACTAAATTTTTGAATTAAATTCAGTGGGGCTGGTATTTGTGTATCTAGTACATCATTTATTTATTATATTCAAATTTATATTCCGCCCTCCCCAGGGAGCTCAGGATGTATATGATTTTCCCTTCCCTATTTTATTCTCATAACATCTACATGAGGTACATTGTTCTGGGAGAAAGTGACTGGCCCAAGATGAATATCATGGAGAGCAGAATTTAAACCTGGGTCTTCCAGGTACTAGTCTGGGGTTCTAACCACTATACCACACTGGCATGCTGTATGGGTTGGGGAAAAGGGGGAAATTCCTTGGAAGAGATGGGAGAAGTGATTCTTTGCACCATACATTTTCTGCATGGTTTGTACATTCTTGAGGCTGCCTTTGATACTATAGGAGTGTTATGAATGAAGATCTCATGTCTTCGTTGGCAAAATAATTTTCTGGGAAAATGAAGTGTGTTTCAGAAATATATTAGAGTTTATTCTTTTTACCTGTTCATCACCATCCTGCGCCTCATAGACTTTAAAAAAAGAAAAAACTTCTGAAGCATGCACCAGACCCTGCCAAATGCCGTTGACTGAGAGAGAGGCCTCATAGTGACCAGTTCAGGTATTAATATTATAAGGTTAAGACAGACACATTTGTTTCTTTTGGACACTAGGGTGCCAGTGTCGCTGAATGTGTTCTTTGACATAGCTGATACTAGAGCTTGGTTGTTATAATTGTTTCTCCTCGAGAAAACCTCACTGATGATAGCTGACAAGCTGAATGAGGAGGATAAAAAATAAATTGTGACACTTGCACTTTAACAGGTTGCTCTATTAAATTGATGTACAGTCAGGCTTCTTAATTTTCCAGGCTAGAAGCCAATACCCAGAGAGAAATAACCGCTTTAAAACTTTGTGAAGGACATCCCAATGTTGTGAAGCTGCATGAAATTTATCATGATCAGGTATTTACAGTATTGTGGGATCATGTAGCCAAACAGAGCAAAGCATATTTTGCATACTATTTGATAGATATACACGGAATTAATTATTTCCTAGGGCAATAAGTTAGATAAACTGGCACTTTCTTATTAGACCAGATGTGATTGAATGCACAGATTTTCCAGAGAGAAAGCTTTACAAGTTACTGACCAGTTCACACAAAACAATTATGTTTTGGTATTATGTATGCAAGCTTCAAATTTGCATGTTCACTTCCCCTCTCACATTACGGTTTTCTCTTTTGCTTCCAGGTTTAAGGCAAACCCTAGTTTTGCCATTACACATGACTTGGCAAACTGTAGTTTGTGCTTGTCTTCTAAGCCATTTTCAGAAGACAACATAGTTTTCAGTTCTGATTAAGAAAGCAAATGAGAATAATAGTTTGCCATTTCCTATGTAACTGAATGGTTTATCTGTGAAACTGGGAGGGAAGGAAGGAATTACAGGAATTCATGGAGAGGTAGAACGGGGTAGGGGGAGAGGTCATGGACCTGAGGTTTGCTTCTATATTGCCAAAACATGGTTTCATGTGCCATATGAACAGAGCTACTGTTTCTCACCAATAATTAAAATATGTTCTACAAAAATAATAGAAGCAAATGAGACAATATATTACATCTTAGCATTGCTCATTATTGTTAAGAGCTTTGCCAACATGTTGGATGTTTGAGTGAAAAGAAGTGATTTGACTCTGTTATCCTCATTTTCTCTTCCTATTCAATAAGCCAATAATTCTCAAACTGTTTTGGTGCAGTTGTGTGCTGTAAAAGAACTTTTGGTGGTCTGTGAGAAATTTTAACTAAATTATGAAACAGTTCTGTTAGGGCAGAGCTACTACCCAGAGAGGTTGTTCCTAGCTGTCTCTCTGACTTATTTACTGCCTTGTGCAGGTCTCTTTCCAGTTGGCCTCTGCTGTGGCTGTTTAACATGTGTCCACATTAGGGTTGATAGGTTCATTCAATCACTCCCACTACAGAGATGTAGTAAAATTATTTGACACCCAGGTACACCCAGAAAGTACACCCAGAAAATAGCTAATGCAGAAGCACAGGTGGTAGGCTTTTCTGAGGACGTCTAGTTCTTACTCTGGCACATTCGGCAGAAAACCTTTTTTACTGTACAAGTAGCTTGTGCTTTCAGTTCCAATTCTAGAAGAAAACCTGCCTCTACTCTTGGAACTCTTAAAAACACTGCAGTAGGCAGATTCAGTGATAATGCTATGTGTTTGCCTTTCATCTGTTCTTGTACCAAATCCTTAGATAGCTTTTTGAACTCAAAGTATTTAAAAATTATTTAAATCCATTGAATAGATCATAAGAAGAGCCCTGCTGGATCAGACCACTGATCCATGTAGTCCAGCACCCTGTCTCACACATGACAGCCAAAAGGACAGCCAGGCCAAGGCCTTCCCCTAATGGCACTGGTATTTAGGGGTTTAGTGCCTCTGAACATGGAGGTTCCCTTTAGTCATCATGGCAAGTAGTCACTGATAAACTTAAATATTTCCTACTGATTTATGATTATCATTTCTCTTTAGTTTGAAGTACTTTGCTAAAAATGCTTCCATATGTATGTTTTTTCTAGCTACACACATTTCTAGTAATGGAACTTCTGAAAGGAGGTGAATTACTTGAACGCATCCGGAAAAAGAAACTCTTCAGTGAGACTGAAGCCAGTTATATCATGCGCAGACTTGTTTCAGCAGTGAGCCATATGCATGATGTAGGAGTAGTCCACAGAGATCTAAAACCTGAGGTATGGTATGATTTAGCCTGCTTATAATGTCAAAGTTGCCGAGTAATCATTAAATCAGCACAACCTCATTAGAATGAAGTTAATACTTATTACTGTTTGTTTACGAAATTGAGCATCTATCTTTTGTCCTAGGCAAATAGTTTTAGTGATAGTTCTATCCATAGTTATTCTCTGGGGTCCCATTAAATTGATGAGCCTTAAATTAGGCTTGTAATTGGCCTCTTGTATTATTATCCTTGAGTAAAAATTGCCACTGTTAAGATTGCTTCTACCACAGGGGGTAACATTCATCACACTGTGCTGTGCTTGTTTGTGCTAAACTGTCCCCCAATACTTCCTGATAGCTGTTTGGCTGACTTCCTGTCAAGCACATGCCCCTTTACTTTTTTTTTTAAGAATTGGTGAGTTGGATTATCATTATTTGCTTGACTTTTTGTTGCTCTCCTCTCAACACATTCCAGTTTGTCTATATCCTCCTTAAATTGTGGTGCCCAAAACTGTACACAATACTCTTGGTGAGGTCTAACCAGAGCAGAGTAAAGTGGTACCATCACTTCTTGTGATCTGGACACTACCACATTTTTAAGTGTTTTCTGGGAACACATTTTTGCTTCTATTAAAATTTGTCATCTCTTATTATTCAGGTCCAGGCCTGTAGCTACATAATCAAACACTGCTGCTCCCCCCCTCTCTCACTGCTCGTTGGACAGCAAGGCAAGCCCTGACTGCCTTCATCCCTCTAATTCCCAAGCCGGCAAAGCAAGTGTGGCACTGCCCAATTCCTCCCTTGGCTTCAGAGCCCATGATTTTGCTTTCCTTCCTCTTTGCCCCCTTTTCTCTTTTTATTTTCAAAGCTCAGCTTTGCCTCCCATCTTTGAATGGTGAGGATTCTCCCCCCCCCTTCCCTTTTTATCTGCATAGCTCAGCTCTGCCTCCTATCTTTGAAAAATTATTTAAATTAGCCGATGCCAAATGCCCCCCAATTTAGAACTTCCTGGCTACGGGCCTGTTCAGGTCAGTTCATTATTGTTAATAAGGCAGTTACGTACGTACCATGCTATAAGTCCATGAGCAGATAAAACAAAAAAAAGTAAGGAAAGGAACGTGGGCAACCAAAAGTGTTTGGATTGTCCAGGATCAGTAACAATCTCTGCCATTCCAAAGGAATGATAATTAGCTGATAGATGATTGCAGCATTTAAAAATAATGTTCTTTGCCAGAGGAGAAGGGGCAGAACAGTTGCTGGATGAAGGGGGTCTTTAAGAATGTGGTATCACTCTTTAAAGAAGTCTTTTCTGACAACCAACCCATGGTGAACCATCGACAAGACTTGTGATGGGGTGATTCATATTACACTGGAAGCAGGAAAAAAATTCCCCAAAGCTACTTGTGTTGGGGGAGGGGGGGGTTGAGGCATTACCTCTGTCAGTTTGTGATCTCGCTGTGAGTGGTTGTGCTGGCTTATAATGGTATATAAATCTGCTCTTTACCAGAGACTGAACACTTAGTTTTCTGTTTAAAGTTCATAGAGCCATTGGGCTATTCTTAGAGGAGGCTGTTAATATATAATCATTTATTTATGTTTGTGTTTCCTTTTTATACTTGCTTGCCTGTAACCACTTTTTCCATTTTTGGTGGTGAGACTTTAATTTTAGTATCAGATACATGTATCACAGACATTGTCTGTGCACATAAAACATATCTGTAAGTTTTTTAAAAGGGGGATGGGAGGGTTATTGGTGGTTTTATTGTATATTTTACAATTGAATTTGTAGGCCATTTTGAGCCATGGGGGAAAGCAGGATATGACTATTAATCAATAAAAAATAAGCTCTTCCTATAACCTCCAGTGCCAATATTTAGTGTTGTACTGAAAGTATATCTTCTTTCTAAGTTAAAAATATATACTTTCCCCCTAGAATTTATTATTCACTGACGAAAGTGATAATTCTGAAATAAAAATAATTGATTTTGGATTTGCCCGCTTAAAGCCACCTGACAATCAGCCACTTAAGACTCCATGTTTTACTCTTCACTATGCTGCTCCAGAACTCTTAAATCATAATGGTTACGATGAATCATGTGATCTCTGGAGTCTAGGAGTCATTTTGGTAAGTAAGTATTTATTTTATAATTCAGTTTTTAAAAACTGCTCAAATACTTGGTGCTGTAATTTTTGATGGGGAAGAAATTGACATAACTGTCTTATACAAATGAATTCTCAGCACTCATGTTTGATTGGAATTGGGATATTTTGTCAAACTGGTGAAGGCATCATGCTTCTGTCTCAAGTGAACTTCAGGGGTGAATAACGGGCCAAGGGATTGCATGTTTCTGTCTCACAACCCTGCTGAAGAAACCTTTGTTAATTACCTTCAAGTTCTCCAGTGGTATAGGGCTGGGTCAGTATGTACTTCAGAGAAAGTGCCCCCTTCTGGTCACAGGTAGGGTTGTAAGGCTTTGGGTGAGTCCACAGGGAGTGACTTCCTTCAATGATCTCCTGTCTAGCCTTGTCTGGCTAGTAGACAGTAGGCCATAGGCCTCACTTTTACCTAATTAGTCTTAACCACTGTTGAAGGCTATGTTATGTATCCTTTAGGTATGCTTAATGGGAGAGCAGGGAATTTGCTCATGAAAGGCAACAGAGTCAATGTGGCTAACATACTTAATACTGGCCCTCTCTCTGAACCATAGATTTGTCTACCCTGGCTCTTGGTTACACAAATTATGTGTTAAATGGATATTAAAGATTAACACTTGGTTCTAAAGAAGCTGATTGAAATTCAGCCATTCTGTGACTTTTGAAAATATCAGCTTGTTAAATGGCCTGTTTAAAGACATCATATAGGTTTTATTGCTGAAACAAGTATAAATTGTCCTGTTTTGAATTTATGATAATTAAGATATGCACAACAATCGGCTGTACAAAATACTGGTAACTGAAAGACATTTTAATGTGAAGATAAATGGTACATTTTACATTGTATGCCTTATTGATTAGTATTTTCCTTTCCCAAAAAGTATACAATGCTCTCAGGACAAGTACCTTTTCAGTCTCAAGATAAAAGTAGAACATGCACAAATGCATTGGAAATTATGAAGAAAATTAAAAGAGGGGAGTTTTCATTTGGAGGAGATGCTTGGAAAAATGTATCTCAAGAAGCCAAAGATTTGATACAAGGTATATATTGACCAATAATTTCCTTAATGTTTTGCTATGGAAGTCAGTACAACACACCAAAATCTGTAGCTCTTTGGCCCTGATCCAGTATGCTTGCACCAGTCTTTCTTAGAAAAGCTCAGTTTCAGCACGCCATTCTAAATGTCCAGCTTCGATTTAAGTAAGTAAAAGGGGGGGGGAGAATCCTAATTTCTGTGAACAAAGCAAATTTTTGGAGTGATTTGTATAATCTCCCCCTTTTACCAGCAGTACACTGTGACCCATGAAAAGTTGCTGCTGACAGGGAACCACTGCATGGAAGGCTGATTTGGCTAACACTGGCCCTTTTCTTGTGTGAGCAAAACAAGTTCTGTGAATAAAGCAAAAGCTCATGAAAGAGCAAGCGAATGACTGCAGCCAATTTCTTCCTCCTTGGTTTACTGTTCTTGTGGGGAGGCACAGGAGGCTTTTGAGGGAAGGAGAAGCTAGTAAAAATAACTTCTATAAACTCACTGCAGTCTTGGAAACTGGATGCAACTGATACTTAGGGGGGCTTGCTAAACTGAATTTCTTCTTCGTGGTCTCTGTGCATTACACGTATGAGATCTCAAGCATGCTCACACAGAACCTTGGAAACTATAAAACTGACAAAGCTTTGAGTGCCAACCCTTCTACCCACAATAGCCACTTATCAAGAGCACCTAATGTGGGCGGAGCTGCGCTTTATCCCTCCGTTTTTCCTTCACTACCACTGCTGCAGCAGCTGCCTCTAGAGGGACATTCTCATTCTGTTTCTTCAGACTATCTATTTGTACTCTATGAAAGAAAGGCTCAAATTAAAAAATTATTTAGATATGGGCTGCATGCTTATGGCACACCACACAACATTTAACAGTTCTGTCTACAAGGGAAAAATCCTATCCACAGACTGGCATAGCCTTTGTCTTTTATGTTTGGGAAGGAGCATAAAGTGGACTCCTGCCAGCATTGCCTAAAGTTTACAAAACAAGCTAGATATACTCATGATTTATTTATTTATTTATTATTTGCATTTCTATCCCGCCCATCCCGTGGGCGGGCTCAGGGCGGGTAACATCATTGAAATAAAAACAATTTCAGTTTAAAACATTAAACATTAAAACACAGTAAAACATTATAACAAAACAATGGGTACAGCTTGGAAGAACATAAGTTGGCTATAAAATTCTGGCCTGATGGTACAATGAATTAAAGGCCAGTAGTCAGTGACAGATGGGTGACGGCAACCTCAGGGAGGCCATAGATGGGCGCCCGCTGCCTCAACCAAAGGCCTGGCAGAACAGCTCCATCTTGCAGGCCCTGCGGAATTGAAGGGAGCATGTTCCACCAGGCTGGGGCCAGGACAGAGAAAGCCCTGGCCCTTGTTGAGGCAAGATTCTGTTGTGGGAGAAACTACAGGTCAAATTGTTGCATCCTTGTCCCTGGTCCCAATGATGCTAGCAATGACAGTATCAGATTCCATGGCATTGCTCTCAAACAATCCAAACCCAAATAAACTCCCAGTCTGATCAATAGAAACAGAGCTTTTGTGCAAAGAAGTTTGCTCAGCTTTAAACAGAAGCAGAAATCAGCAGGCTGCTAAATGTTATACTTCAGAGGAACGAAGTTTGAGTCCAGCGGCACCTTTAAGACCAACGAAGTTTAATTCAAGGTATAAACTTTTGTGTGCAAGCACACTTCTTCGGATACAGAGAACAGAATCAGAGAACAGTATCTGAAGGGTGCTTGCACACAAAAGGTTATACCTTGAATTAAACTTTGTTGGTCCTAAATGTGCCACTGGACTCAAATTTTGTTCTGCTGCTTCAAACTGAGACAACTACCCATCTGAATCATACTTCAGAGGATTTATCAAGTGAGCATAAGAAAAACAAATCAAAACATGGGGGGACACCTGCACCTACCAATATTTCAGTGGCACCTCAAAAATCAGTGCTGGTACAGGGCACTGAGGTTGTCACCCCAGTCCTGGAAGCCTTCTGAAATGATTGAGAAGTGAGCAGTCAATTGCCAATTGTTTATTGGTAACATTCCTCTTAAGATGGAATGTACATCTGTAGATGTACCTGCAGACTGGGATGCATGCAAAACATCAGTCTCAGAGGTGGAAGAAAGCTGACTTACTAAAAATTTGGAAGTTCAGCACCTAAGCAAAATTTTCCTCCATCTTTACAGTACCAGAATGACTTACAGTCTGTAGAACAAGCAGATTATGTACATTTAAAAAATCCTGATGCCTTCACATTCAAACATTTGCCATCCTGACTTTCAACCTGCTGTTTCAATATTATCATCCTCAGATAGATGGGGAGACTTATCTTCAGATTCTAAATCATATGATAAAGCTTCTGATTCTTCACCTGCATCGCTGGTTTCTGAAAAAATGCCTCCCTCACCATCAGTGAACTTAAAAATATATACTGAACAGATCACAAAAATGGCTGATGCATTGGGATTGGGCACAAGAGACTTCTAAAGGAAGGAGAAGTTCATAAAAATAACTTTTGTGAACTCACTGCCTACACAGAAGCATTGGATGCAGCTGTTATTTAGGGGGGCAATTTAAGTTTCTTCAGGCAGATATTACATTTTTTGAGAACTACATCTGCTTCTGGACTACAGCTACTGTAATCAGTTATGTAGCATTAAAATAATTTTCATGCAGTTTCTACAAATACATTATGATTGTAAATTGTTAGGAATACCTTAATATCGATTTTTGCTCTGTGTGAATTGATTTCTACAGTCTTAAAATTTCTTAAACTGTTGATATATAGTCATAAATCAGCTTTGTTTTTTTATAAGTGAATATTAAATAAGGACAATTAAAAGGATAAATGGTAACTCAACTGCTCTTTAAATTCCTATTAGGACTTCTTACAGTGGATCCAAATAAAAGAATTAAAATGACCAGTTTGAGATACAATGAATGGCTTCAAGATGGTAGCCAGCTGTCATCCAACCCATTAATGACTCCAGACATTTTAGGATCTTCAGGAGCTGCTGTCCACACTTATGTCAAAGCAACCTTTCATGTAAGCTTGAATCATCTTAGTGTTGAAACAGTAAATCATGGTGCTTTTGTCTTTCTGCCACCTAGTTTTAGTAAGATGCACTTTTGGTCATAGAAATTTCCAAAAATATTTAGTGTCTTGGCTGGAACTTGGGCATGTTTTTTCTTGGCCTTTTTTGCCTAGCACCTCCCCCTTCTCTGTCACAATCCCTTTGGGCTTCTTGAAAGTGCAACGCTTACTGTTGAAGCAATGGAATAGTGGAGGAGGTATGGGGGAATGGAAGAGTTGGACTGGAAACTACTTTTAGTACCACAACCATAATAGAGAGATGTCGGTTCCCAGTCCTGGTTTCGATCACTCTTTAGTCATCCTGTGGGGTAATCCTTTCCCCCTATGAAATCCTCTGCATACTGGTCCACTCTATTGGTTGAGTTCAAACCAGAGGTCTCTTTTGTGAGTGCACCAATAACATTGATACTGGAAAATAGTAAAAGAAATACTATCCTAAGATTATAATGATGAAAACAGTACCTATACACATAAAAGTTTGTATAGATTTTTAGCGTGCTGTATCACAGTGCCTTAGAACAGATATTATGTAATAAGAAACAATACAGTTCATTATCTGAGACTTTCAGAATTTACATCAGGTAGAGAGGACAGATACAAAGGAAATAAAAAGATGAATACACCTATTGTTTCCCTTGTATTTCAGTAGTACTTTCTAATGAGGCCTTCCTTAGTTCCTTCCTCTCCTTTAATGCATTCTTTAAAATGTTTTTTTTTTTAAATCCCATTTCACGCTTAACTCTCCTTCAAGGACATTACCTTTATACTTCCCTTAGGGTTGCCAGGTGCCTACTGTCTGCCGGCAGGGGGCTCCTGGCTGCTGCCAGGGATTTTCTGGTGCGTCCACACTGATGACATCATCCAGAAGTGATGTCATTGCACCGGGCATGTTGTGTAGGGGATGCTGTAGCATTCAGCCAAAAACTCTATAGTCACCATAGAATTTTTAGCCGAACGCTAGAGCATCCCCTGCACGATGTGCTCTATGCAATTACATCACCTCTGGGTGATGTCATCACGTCAGGCATGGCAGAGCTCTTCAGGGGCATGACTCTCCCCGACAGCCAGTTGGTCGGCGGCAGATTGGGGTCCCCAAACTTGGGGGGAAACCCACCCCCATCGGGGGGATGGCAACCCTAACTTCCCTCCTTCACCTGTAGGTCAATAAATTTATCCAAATCTGTTTATCTGAAATATGGACCGGTTAACCGTCCATAGGTAGCTGTCTCAAGGCCATACAGTTGCTGAAGCTTTTGTAAGGAGGGAGTAGGAATAAGTCACTTTTGTAACCTGTGGCTTAGAAAGCCTGCTCTCCGTTCAATTGCAGGGAAATTTTTTGAAATTTCCTGCATTTCATGCACCTCCCTCCTGGGGGGGGAAATTTACTTAAAGGTAATCATGGGAAAGATTGAAGGTCAAAGAAGACGGGGACGGCAAAGGATGAGATGGTTGGACAGTGTCATAGATGCAACGAACATAAAATTGAGCCAACTTCAGAGGACGGTGGAAGACAGGAAGGCCTGGCAGGAGCTGGTCCATGGGGTCGCGAAGAGTCGGACTCGACTGTGCGACTGAACAACAACAACAATCACCAGTAGGAGTTAATTAAAATGTCTACATAGAAACTGTTTGGAACTCATCTATATATCTAATAGCCAAGTGGCCCCGTCTGTGCGGATATCTAAATCCGCGCTTCGGGGCCACTTGGGGGGCAGGGAGAGGTTTGTGCACACGTGGGGCAGTCCCCACGTGTGCACAAAAATGCTAAATGTTGGAAAAAATTTCGGGGGGATGTTTAAATCCCCCCGAAAGTGCCAGAGCGTTCCGTGCGCATGCGCACAGAACGTTCTGCGAAGGCCGCCGCCGCCTGCGAAGGGAACGGCGAGCGGCGAGCAGGGGGGGAGGCAGAGCGGTGAGGGCCGAGCGGCACGGAGCCGGGGAGGGGGTGGGGAGAGTAGCGAGGGGCAGCCCCAGACCGGCTCGCCCCTCACCCCACGTACCGACTTGCGGGCGGGGGGAGGAGAGGCCTCGCTACCGCCGCCGCCTCCCCCCCGGAGCCGGCAGGCAGGGCAGGGGGTGGACACCGGCCTCGCCGCTGCCGCCGCCGCCTCAGGGAGATCGAGGGGTGGGGGGTGGAGGAGACGGGGCTCTTCTCCCCCCCGGCGAGTATCGCGGGTCCCCCTCTTGTTTCTGCCTATTTTGGTTATTATTATTAAAAATACCTTTCCTCCAGTTCTTTAGAATAGTAACCCTATTATCAATAGGTCTTGGTATAGAATTGGTATAGAATTTACTTTTTTGGAATATGTAATGTGATTGCTTAGGCAAAATATTTGTAAACAGCTGAACACTGACTCTCATTTATTTACTCAGAATTTTATTTATACTTCTAAAACAGGCCTTTAACAAGTACAAGAGGGAAGGCTTTTGCCTTCAGAATGTTGACAAGGCACCTCTTGCAAAAAGAAGGAAGATGAAAAAGACGAGCACAAGTACAGAAACACGTAGCAGTTCCAGCGAAAGTTCTCATTCTTCTTCGCATTCACATGGTAAAACTACTCCTACAAAGACACTGCAGCCAACAAATCCCACAGACAGCAATACTCCAGAGACCATCTTCCAGTTCTCTGATTGAAAAGCAGGGAAATGGCTATAACGATGTTGATATATGCACTCTCTTTAACACAGCAGCATCTGTTAATTTTAATAACTTCATCATTAGGCATTCTTTTTTTATAAAGTTTCTTTTTAAATGTTCTGGTTCAGTCCTGATCTAATAGGGCATGTTAAACTGCTGTATCAGTAGAATCCAGATCAGAGCTATGTATTCCAAAACATTTTTGTATGTTGCCAGTAAGGAGATGGAAGCAGCCCTGTAAAGTTTCAAAGCTCCATTTCCTAGCCATGGCAGCCCCAGATGCATGCAGCGTTGACTGCATTGTGGCTGGTCTTTTTTGGAAATTTTTGTACAATAGAAAAGTGGCAAGTTGAGGTGTCTGGTGCTGAAACATACTGTCAGGATTTAAAAATATATCCTTCCACTTGTGCAGCACCTCTATTACTGCGTGCATGAGAATAATCAAGCCCTATCCAAAGATCTTCTTTAGCATGTAGAATGGATGCATAAGACATAAGTAGTATTTGGCTAGTGCAGGGGTTTGGTTTCTGGTATGCAGAAAACAGTTCTTCTACTTTAGATTTTGGGCATTTTGTGTTCTGCTTTGAAAGAATATTTTAAGGGTTTTTTCCAGTAATTTAAAGACAGTGATTTATTTCTAAAAAGAGCCTGCCACTTTCTTAAGCATTCAGAACTAAAATGTATTTATATTTATATTATCTTATATATTATGCCTAGTTTTTAAATATAAAATTAGTTTCTCAAGTGGAATTCTGTATTCCAGTTACATTGGGGCCCCCAAAATTATGCATGCATTGATACCCAATATATTTTGCAAGTTGCTATGCAGTTGTAGCAAAATATTCAAATGTTTTTAAAGCTACTTATAGCAGCTGCATGGCTCGGTGTGCATATAATCAGTCTTGATGAGTAACAACATGGTTATGAGTGCTTTTCAGAGATGCTGTGTAGCCTGCTCTAGTCATTTTGGTGAAAATTACAAATTGATAGCACCATTCCGCCTTGCAATATTAAACTTTTGTTTTCTCGCTATTATTCTTATTCCTACATGCAATACTTCTCAGATGTTGCCCTCTATCATGTTGGGGCATGTTTTAACTTTCAGCCATTATGCACTGGGAAAACTAAAGGGACTTTCTATAAAACACTGTGCTTCACATGTATACACTGTGTTTTACTGCAGTAAGATATATCCTGCTGTAGTAGTAGTATGGGAAATTATAAATGTAACTTCCTGTTGCATCTTTGGTAATATCTTAAATTGTGAAGCATAACTTGTTAACATATGCAGAGCACTTCTACAGATTTGTTAACATATGCAGAGCACTTCTACACGTCTCATGCTTCGGTTTTGCAATGAGGCACTGAATAGTCCTGTTTTGAATTCAGTGGGGCCATGTGTACAGTAAAATTTATGCATAGCTATTTGTAGGAATAGAATCTGATAGGTTTTGTCAATACCTTGCTGCATTTTAGAATAACCTAAATCCAAATCCTATGCAAATTATTATTCTTCTAGCTATTTCTATAAATGGTTTGTTTACATTTTTGCATCTGTTATTCGTGTTCGAGAAATTGAATGCAGATTTGTGAACAGAAACTGAGGGAGCAGAAACCTTGAAGCACAGCATGGTTATGCTGTCTGTGGTTGTTGTTTTTTTGTAATCTAGTGAACAGCATTTTCAGCAGAGGCTTGAGAGGTACTTTCTATGTGGCTCCTCAGGTTCTTGATAGGATCCTTTAAATCCAATTTTTGTTAAGGGAAAAAGTTTAATTTTAGCCCTCCTACTTTCAGAGGTGACCTTGAAAATGGGGTAGCAGAAACCAGAATGCTTGTCACTGGACACAAGATGTGCAATGCCAATGTAATACATATTTACTCAGAAATTCGCTCCACTGACTTCTTTGAGGCTTGCTCCCTAGCAAGTGTGCGTATAATTGCAGCCTTGTTTGGATTCCTGAGGTTGCAACAGTGATTTGATAATTTGGGATCCTATTGTGTGCTTTCTCATGTTTGAATAATAATTCCGTATTGCTCATAATTGATAACTTGTCCACCAGATGTGCCTTGGCTTTCACACTGTGTCTAGAAATTTAAAAATTAGGCCTATGGACCAAAAGGAAGTTTGCATTAATTATTTATTTCTAAAATAGGGAGATCACCTGGCACTCTTGATATATTTGCAGTATGGCTCTGTTGCTGACTGACTTGCCAACATTTGTATTTCAGGCTTTCATAACTAGTGATACAAATTACTTAACTGGCTTCTTTGATATAAATGGGAACAAAACTTTAAACTGGATGAAAACGTTGCATTTCTCAATGTTTACATCATCCCAATCTTTATATTTTACAATTCTTTGTGATAAACAGCACAAACAACTGAATGGTAATGGATGCTAAAATATAGAAAACTATGCCAGCATATAATTCGGATTCATTTTCAAGTCTTTAGGAATATGACCTATATAATGAAACATTTTCTCTGTGATAAATATACTAGTCATGATTATGCACATATCCCCATGGAGCTGAACTATAATTCTTCAGTGTTTAGTAAATACAATCAGGTGTTTTGCCATATGTTGTTCATTTTAAAATGTAATATGAACAAAAGTTGTCTACTTTTAAAGTAAAATCTCATTGGTTTAGTAGATTTTAAACTTCCAATATAATAATACCCCCATATTATAAACTCCCATTTAAATTTATATGCAGTCTAAACTAACTGTTTTAAATGTCTTGTCCCTTTAGGGGAAATCAAAATAAATTATATTTTATATTAGAATAACTTTAATATTTGATAGACCAATATAAAATACATAAAGTAACAATTTGCTAGGATTTCTCAGGAAAAGGGAATGTGTTTATATCTCCATAGTTCTCTTCCACAGGCAGCTATCATGAATGCTCACAGAATTATTTTTGTACTGCTGGGGCACAGACTTTCTCTGATAGAAGCACAAGTGGGTACAAAGTATAGTCACAACTACTTGTGGTGCTGGAGTTCAGGGAATGGAACTCCTGTTGAGTAATGTGACTCTAAAAAGCAGTTGTGGCAGGGCTCAATATGGATTGCTTGGGCTGTGGCACTGATTGGTACTAAATCCCCTCCCCATCATTTCTCTGGTTTAAAAAAATCCTCCTCTCCAATGCTGCTAACTATTGGAGGAGGGTGGAAGATTAGTGTATTACAAGAAAGGGGACCCGTGAAACTCACGGGGGAGGGGAGCTCCACGCAGAGCAGGAGGAGGAGGAAGTAGCAGCAGCAGGTAAGCTTCCCCCCCAATCCCGCTGGTTCCCCCCCCGGCCCGCCAAGCCTTCTCCCGTCCTCCCGTCCCATGTGGCGGCGGCGGCAAGGCAGTTCGCAGAGCGTTCTCTGCACATGTGCAGGGGACACTTTTACTTTTGGGGGATTTAAATATCCCCTCGATATTTTTTTCACCTTTTCAGATTTTTGTGCACATCTGGGGACTGCCCCAAGTGTGCAGGAAAATCTCCCTGCCCCCCAGGTGCCCCTGATGTCTGGATTTAGATATCCGTACGCAGGAGGCGCCTTTCGCTATTAGTATATAGATGCCTATTATCCCACCTCAAAAATCTGGGACGTAAAGCAGTGGGAAGGAACGCTCTTGACTGGGAAAATGGCATGCAAGTAAGACCATAAATGCCTCATTTTTGGTTCCACTGCTTTAGCCATACAAGGTCTCCTGGTGATTTCTTTTTTGGGGCCAAATAACATCTCAGTTCTTCTTATGGAACTTGTGGAACCGGTAACCTTGACCCATAAACTTTCAATTTTAGCACAGTTGTAGTTTAAAAAACAAAAACCACTGAGTTAACTTCAAGATTTTATACAGATACAATACATAATTCCAGCTCTCTTTACTGAGCCAAGCTCCTTCATCTTTATATATTTGTTATGAGATTATAGCAGAGGTGAGCAGAGATTTATATCATGCCAACTATACCTGTAAAAAGAGAGGCAGGTTTGCTCATAAGGACACACATAACTAAAGGATGCTGCTAAACACTATGGAGTGAGTATTTAAGATAAACACACACTTTTTTTCCTAAGTACGCATAGAAACACTGAAGGGTAGATAGGACACCAATAGAATAGAGTGAGCCCATGAGCCAGTTATGATTTAGTTGTTAGTACTAAACTGGAATCTGGGGGAAGTGTGTTCAAATGCCCACTCATCCATGATATTCAGTGGATGACCTAGGACCAGTCACTCACCCTCTGCCTAACCTATCACATAGGGTCGGTGTAAGAATAAGCTGTTTCAGGCTTACTGGAGAAATGGTGGATAAAAATGTACTTGATAGAATGAGAGAATTTCAAAATGCAACATAGTAAAAGCATTGTTACCTAGCACTTGGCTATCCAAAATAATTAGTTAACTGACATTGGGCAAGCTCCTCCCACTCAGCCACCACATGCCTGCAACTTGGGCATATGTGCATCCAACTCCTACCTCTCCAGCCAGTCAATATGATGTGTCCAGCCATTGCTGGGGTTCTGACAGCAAGCACTGCCAGCTGATGTCATCCTCAGGTGACTTCTTTCCACTCAGCCTGCCTTCAGCTGTCAGGAGTCAGAGAGCTCCTGTTCCATTTTTAATACTTGCTTCATTGGAGTGCTTTGGGAGGAAGATAAGAATCTTGCAAGGTTGGGGGGCTGTACCCATAGCATTCCCAGTGGGGTAGCAGTTTGGTTGCTGTGGATTCCTGTGGGCAGGACAGAGCAGTATGCTTTGAATATTTAGCACATTTGATTAAATAGCAACCCCATTTCTCTTGAATACCATATAACAAAACTTTTATAGTATTTGACATGGTTAGTGAAATTTTTGTCAAAATTAGCAATGTAACCATTAAAATTCCTATTCTGTATAAGTGAAAAAGCAACAACATGTTCGTAGTCTTTGACTACTCTCCCGTTTCCCTTACTCTTACACTGAGAGAAACGTTTTATTTGTTCTGCTAAATTTCTCTCACATTTGTTCATTTTAGCAAGTTACATAGCAACAAGTAGGC